GAATATCTCAATCAGTCTAGATCACAATCCAAAGGTTGTCATCTCAGGAAAAAAAACATGAGTATGTCAGCCATTTCCAGTTATCAGAAATAGCCTTTTGGTTCGTGGGGTTGCAGTGCCTTAGTGAGCACAGCCATCCATTCTTTGCAGAATATAGAAATTGATTTGCCAGTACAGAAATGGATGTTTTGTGGTAGAGAAATGCCTGTGACTCCATGATTTTACCCCCATATACACACGCCATTAAAATTCTCAGATCCATTCCCCCTGCATAATTCAAATAACCTTCTTTTGTTTTTTCTGGGCTGGAAAGGATCCCTGGGTGCAGCTCTGCAGGACTCTAGCCTACAATAAAGGGTGGAAGCCCAGTCTCTACCTCTGGGCACCCAGATCGGAATGGTAGGTTCTGACAACTACCAATGGTAGGTTGATGCATCCTACCTTTCACTTGTGGTACTAACAGCCTTTGCCTGAAATTGCTTCAAGACCTTTTGTCCTTTTGTTGTTTTTTCCAAGTCCTATATATGTCCATGACAGAATCATTTTTTACGGAGAAATATGTACTGCCATCCATGGCAAAGGTACACATTTATTACCGGGCTGTGTTTATAAAACTGCATACAACTGGGTCTTGAGTGTGGCACCCTTTTGGCTTCCTCAGCAAAGTGTTACTGTAAGCACAGGTACTCTGATTCTGCTTCAAGAAGGCAGTTGAGCTTTGAGTGAAAAGCAATGTTTAAATGCAGGACAGAGGAGGTCAATTGCATTGACCTCTAGGGCTGCCTGCCTGCCAGCAAGCAGGTATGACAAATTACAACATGGGGACACTGGCAGCTGTCATGGCCTTTCTTGTGCTCCAGCTTTTGGGAACACCACACCTGTGTGGCATTTAAAGATTTCTTTATTCTGAAACTCTTTTAACCTCCTCAATCCCAAGGTACTCTAGGTTTCCAGGTTTCCAAGGTACTTCAGGGAGGGAGAAAATGTTGCTGTGGGGATTCACAGCAAATTTCCTGAGTTTGAAAATGCACACCTTTGTACCCAGAAATCTAGGTGCTGAAGCCAGGTTTTCAATTAACTGCAAGGAGTCTGACCTTGAGATAAACTTTCCCTGACTCCTGGGTTTATCTGTGTATAAGACATACTGTTTCCCTGTTCCTCCTAGTATTCCAGTCTTCAGTATTTGGGAGGGATTATAGAAACCCCTTTAAGTGAAGTGCTTTGTTAACCACCACTACCTTTTCCTTCTGTGACACTGCTGACACCTGCACAAGGCCAGATGCTCCTGAGAAACAGGCTTCTTTCATACTGACCATAATGCTCTATGCTTACTTTTTGAGCTATATGCCTGCCAAAATGTTTTATCTGCAACCCAGACTTACTTATGCCATTTGTATTCTTTGTGGAAATGATTTAATTATTCAAGTTTACAGAAATCAATGCAGTAAGAAAGAATTGTTATTTCCATGAATCTTTGGGAAGAGTAGTTTGCTGATAAATATTGGGTACGGTAAAAGTAGGCCAACTCAGGTATGCTTCCAGAAGGAATCCAAAGTCAGGTTCTGTCACAAGGAATTTCTATACATTAAACAAAGGAAAGGTATTGTGATTCATGGGAGACAACTTGGAACTCCAGTTGAGCAGTACTGCGTTCAATTGAAACACTGAAGTCTCACTGCAGAATAACAGCAAAACTGTAAATCAGGTAGACTGAAAATTTTTAGTTTCCATGATTTAAGTTAAAATAATTTGTTTATGTCAGGTACATACTACTTTTGATAATTTCCTCATGGGCTGGGTTTTCAATTAACTGAACATAGTAAACTTTCCCTCACTGTATCATGTTTTTAGAAAACTCCCTTTTGTCTAACATTACTAATTGCAGTCAGAGTAACTGTTAAACTTCAGTTATTTCCAATATAAAATGATAGGAACGTTGGGAATCAGAATCTGATGAGCAGTGTATATTCAACTTGGTGGGAACAGTAAAATCTTACAGAAAACTAGTTGCAAGACTCATTGAAATAAGGACTTCGGAGTACAGGGGGGTTCCAGTTGCAATGTCACCATGCAGAATGGCCTGGAACCTCCTTGCTAACTTAGTAACTTCTGTTTGCAACAGAACTTTGGGTGTTATGGGAATTTTTTATGGATGTTACTACTCTTGAGTATTGTGGTTTTAAATTAATTTTCTGGAAAAGAGACACAAAACTCCACTTTTTCTCTAGCATAACTTCTCTAGTACAGTTCCACATCTAATTAGTGCAATGTAGGTTTTTGTCAGACTCCAGAGGCTTCATCTCTGTTCAGTGTCTGAAGATGCATGGCACCCTATCAATAGTCCTACAGTTGTGTCTTTAGTGGACCAGTCTCTGTGAGTAGACATGCACTTCCTGTTTCATGCAAAATGACCACAGCCCTCCTTCCTTCTACCTGGTGATTCCTCCTCAATTTCTGCAAATTCCTGTGGGCTTCGGAGATTCAAAATTCTTTTGGGCAAGAATCTAATGACTGAGGTGCTGGGATTCAGGCAGAATACTCATTGAGGCAATTCCAAATAGTAACCACTCCAGGGTATTTCCTGAAAGGATAAATTCCTGTTCTTCTCAGACTTCTTAAATCACTTTTAATATCACATGAACGTTCTCTGGAAAGTTTTGTTCATTTCTGTTTTGTCACATTAAAAGGTTAAATGTGCTTTAGCTCCTTAAGTAATAAAAGTTAGACTCATAGAATATTCCTGGCAATTTACAATACCTCCTCTTTCCTAATTTTTTTTTTTTTTTTTTTTTTTAATCGGACCAGGGATCGAACTCAGGACTACCTGCTTGCAAGGCAGGCGCTTATGCTGCTAAGCTAAATCCCCAGCCCCCCCGCTAAGCTAAATTCCCAGCCCCCCTTTTCCTAATTTGTTGATGTTAGTGAAGAGTTAATTTTAGGTCAGTGTCACAGTCCTTCACTGGTGATTCAAAACTCTCTTCTGTAATGTGAAGGTAGCTAAAGCTTCCCACCAAGTAAAAGTCAATGTCTTGGAGCCTAAAAGTGGGAGTTCTTGAAGAAAAATCTTAGCAAAGTTGCATGATTTTCACCTCCACACTGGCAGCAGCCAATAGTAGGCAATGGCTTTATGTGTTAAGCAGGGCTACTGCAGAATCCTTGATTTCTGTCTGCTGCCAGGGGGCCCTAGCAGTTTGCATGTGCCTTTCACAAGGCCTTAAGATGGGGATGGTTCCAGTAAGGCAGGCTTTCCAACATCAGCCCTCTCGATATTTTGGACCTGATCATTTTAGTTATAGGGGCTGCCCTCTGCAGCATAGGATGTTGGCTGCAGTCCTAACCTCTACCTTAGATACCAGCAGCACCTCCTCAGTATTGACAAATTAGAGTATCTCCCTTCAAGCTTGGAAAGGTAATCCCTGGGAGGTTATCAGAATCCAAAGGAATTTGCAGAAATTGAGGAGGAATCACCAGGTGGAAGGATAGAGGGCTGTGGTCATTTTGTATCTTCACCCTTAAACAACAACTTCTACTATAAGGAACTGACCACTGTGGCAATGGATGCCCATATATTCTTGTGGCTTCTTCTACTTGTCCCCATACAAAGCCTCCAGGGAACCTTGTTCTTTCTCAACAAACCTGGGCCTTGTGTGGCATACTCTGCCTGTGTTTGAAGAGGGGCACAGCCATATGCATGCCTTTTCTCAGGTGACAAGATGATGGGGCCAAGATTGAGTGGTCTAAAGCTTTTCTGTTCCCCTCATTTGTCTTCTTGATGCAGAGGATAGAAACCTTGAAGATTTTTTTTTAGAGGGCTGTTCGTTTTTGAGAGAGAGGTGGGGCCCCTTTATGCATTTTAATTTTAGGTATGTAACCTTTCAGCTATAATTGTGTTTTGATAATTTGGCAGACCACTAATAAAACCATTTTTCTCAGAAGGCGATAAATAAATGGCCAACAAGTATACGCCACTGTCACTAACCATCAGGGAAATCCAAGCATACTACCCCTCTCTAGTTAGAGTGACCATTATCAAAAAGATTAAAACTAGCAGAAGCTTATAAGCATATGGGCTAGGAGTGTAAATTAAAATAGCCATTAGGGCAGATAATATGGCAGTTCCTCAAAAAGCAGAACTTAATGTACCCTGTGATCCTAGCCACTCCGTGACTTGCGCAATGTCCAAAGGAAAGGAAACTAAAATCATTGGGAAACACCTGCAACACTGTTTGCAGCAGCCCAGTTACACCTGAGCCCAGGTGTCTTCTGTCTTAATTTTTTTTTTCTGTCTTAATTTTTAAAACTGAACAGAAGTATAACAAATTCCACTGCTGTCATACTTTGTGAAAATTGCATTTTTGAAAAGTTAAAAAAGCAACCCCTTAGAGGATTTTCATATTTTAAAATACTACATTATTGTGCAAAGCCTAACATACCTTTGCCTATAGAAAGTTTCTGCTGTATACTTGATGTTGGTAATAAAAACAAGCTTCACACTAAAAATACAAAACAAAACATAAAGAACATCTGTGCAGGCTCCAGAGAGGGGATTCTGCCTCAGGGGATTTAAGTGCCATAATCCCTGTGAGTTCCCAGGATCTAACTGCACATGTAGTATGAGCAGCCTCGGGGCCTTCTGTGGCATTCCTAGCACATCCAATGTCATTTCAGGCCTTGGATCTACGCCATCTAAAGGGCACAGAGTACAAAGTACAGTGCTCATGGCTAATGATTCCAGAGGAGCAAGCTGTTGAGCTGATAGAAGCTCTTCAGACTAAGACGGTATATTTGCAAGGTGAATGGTTTAAATTCTCCTTTATCCATGGTCCTATACCTGAAGTAGAGTCTTTAGAGATAGCTTAGAATTATGGTCAAAGAAGGTCCTTTACTTTTTTGCCTGATAGAATCATCCCAGATGGCCCCAGATGGTTCTTGCATTTGTGGGTAAGCATTATTTGTCACTCAGAATAAAAAAAAGTGGGAAGAGGAGAATGTTAACATACCTATAGATAATACATGCACTGTTCCTGCATGTGTCACAATTAGCTGTGTCTTGCCCCGTCCGATATGAAAGCCTACAAGATAAGAACAGGAGAGCATTACAAGCGGTGACTGGGGGTCGCTGGCCTCACAGAGCAGATGCCTCAAACCAGATGCTTTCCCGATGCCAAGCTTGTCATGGTTATGGAAACCGATTATTGTTTCCCAGTTTGCTTCTGTCATTGCCTTTATTATACGCAACCAATGCAGTACCTATAGCTTCGATGATATTTAAATTAAATTTATAATGTTAACATAGGCTACTAAATGAAGTATATTATCTAATTTTGCTGTACGTACAGGGAATTTAGGATGTTTCAGTTCAGCTGCATATTTATGATGTTTTAAAGAAACTTTGAGGGGAAATCAACCTTAAGTTGTAGTCTCCCCCACCTCTTGTCTTACTAGAATAAGCGTTGGGCAACTGTGACCGAAGGCAGTGCCTGATATGTTCAGCACGGTGAGTGGGTTTTATGTTTTTAAACACTTGAAAAAAATGAAAGAATAGTATGCATGCCTGTGTGCCTTATGGAAATTATCTGAAACTCACATTTCAGTGTCTATCACTAAAGTTTTAAATTTTGACAGTAAGTAGAAATACCTATACACTATCCTCAGTTTTGCCTCTTTGTCTACAAATTCTATAGTGTTTTTCTATCTGGCTCTTTAGAGAGAAAGAGGAAAAAAAAAATCCTCATGGATAATAGAATATCATTCGGCCATTGTCCAGACTTCTGATTTAGTTTCTCTGGCTGTATTCTCTGGTGAGTTCTGTTGGCCCTGTAAGACCAAACGAATTAGCCTTTGTGTTTTTGTACAGAGTTGCTAACTCTTCCTCTCCGCTTTAAAAAAACAAACCCTTGGAGCATTTTTGTATCATAGCCTTGAATGTTGTAGAATTATAAAAGTTTGATGGGGAGAGGTTTTTTGATCAGGTTAAAATTGACTGGAATATGTTTTAGAACCAGTGTGAGGGTACAGTATATATTTAGCCAACTACTTGGCTCTTTCCAATTTTTCAACGCACAGGATATTTTTTCTGTGTATTATTTTGTACTCAGGACAAACAGGATAACTCAAGTCTGTTAAATTTGTGGCAGAGAAAAGCTTCCATTTGAACTGGCTTGTAATCACTTTGGGGGCAAATTTACAGACAGGGAGTTGCTCAACAAAGTAACAGTATGCACAGAGGTTTTCTGTCAACACCAATAGTCAATATTTTTTTATCACTTTTGCTATGTACACTTTTCTTGTATGCATCATGGGTTTTAAATTGAAACTAGTTTTTGTTTCCTCATTATATTTTGCATTACATAAACATTTGATGAAAGGATTGTCGGCACAGTGCTGAGGTTGTCTCAGTGGGCTTCAGTAAACTTGGACATGACCTTTGAATGCTATGCAGTTTATTTGTTAATCAGGTGACCATATACTGCACCAGAATCTTGCCAAGAGTTTCCTGTGATTCATTATATTTGAAATAGAATTGGAATCATACCATGGCTGCCTTTATTATCCTTTTTCTTTTGTCACATCCCATATTGGGTACCTTTCGATATCCATGCTCCCTTTTGGCTTTGCTGAATGAATGACTAACTTACTTGTATCTCCCTCTTGCTCCACACCACCTGTGATGAGTTTCAGTTCTTTGTCCTTTCCTTGGGATGGCATGTCTCAAGAATGCAGACTTCCTGACCCTACCTACCTGGCTCCAAATTTGTCCAACTCCTGTTCAGGTTCCTAGTTTATGACCTTGCCTTTTCTCACTCTCCCAAGCCATATACATGCCTCATGTCTTTCTTCATCAAGTGCATTATACTTGAGCTTGGCCACAAGTTCATTTGTGACCAAGGCTGACACACTGAAATGAAGGTGAAAGACTTGAAATTCAATCCTAGCAATGATGTGAATGTGTTGTTACACTTTTGGCTTGGTTGCAGATGAGGTGCTTGCTGCCTCTCTATTATGTTGTCCTGATGTATGCAAGCCAGTGGGTGAAAGACTACATGATAGTCACCTACGTATGTTTATGGCATCCAAACTTTAGGTGATTAAATAAGGAAAAATCGGGGGCATTTCTTAACTATTATTTGAAGGCTTTCTTTCAGTGACTTTCAAATACATAGCCCTTCTTGCCCTAGACTTGAGGCCAGTCTCTGTCATGCCTTATCAACATCAACACCCCCTCTTTGCCCATTAACCTTAGAATTTTTTATTATCTCACTTGCATTAGAGCCTCGGATCTTCCAATTAATTATGCTATCCTTATTTTATAGAGGAGAATACTTCAGGTCCAGGGACTCATTATTCTTTGACCCCAGGCTTCTGATGCTTCACGTTGTTTTGCTTGTACCATGGGACCTATGTTTTCTGTGCTATGTAATTGCGGCTTAGGATAGTCAGTGCATCTGGAAATAACAGGCCAAAGGCTTCAGGCACTGGAGAGTCCTACGAGGACCTTCATCCTCAATAGTATAGTGCCTCAGTGTGAAGTTGTCTTTGTAAAGCCCTTGCTGAAAAGACTATTAAAATCACTTTGTAAAATGCATCCATTTCCCTCATTTTAGTAAGCAAGTAGTTGTGTCTCCTGTCAGACATTCTTCTAGCTACTGAGAATACATTTTTGAGCGAAGTAAGAGTGCTTGTACATGTGAAGTTTACAGCAGAGTGAGAGGTAGGTGGTCAACTCCTAAGTATATGAATAGAGGAAGGAATGAATGGTAGATCATTTTGACACTGCTATCACTGTTAAGGAAGTAACTATGAAACCATTTGAAGTGACTTTGGCTTGGCATCTGACGTGAGACCACACTAATATTGAAGCAGTCAGTCACCTGATGACCCAGGGTTAAGTGATGCAAGCAGGACCGTCCATCAGATGTTAACCCCAACTCCTGTTAACATCCAGCAGTGAAAAAGACAGTGGCATGTGTGTAGGACACTGTGCTTAGAGTGCCTACAGTAGCTGGAGCAGATGGGAGTGGAAGGAGATGAAGTTGGATCATTGAAAATGGGAAAGGATTTGGATATTATTTTAAGTTTAATGAGAATCCACCATGGAGTTTTTCTTACAGGTGTCTAAAAATATGAAAAGGAAAATGCCTCCTCTTACCCCTTTTGCAGCACAGAAGTCGTTCTATTTCCTTTCTTCTGTTTCTTATATTTACATGCCCACCTAGCTTCCTTCTTCCTGAGAAAATGGCTTTCTCTGACTGATGTCTATTGACAATAAACAGAAGAGTCATAATGCCCACACTGATGGAGACCTATCTGGGGTCATGCCTATTGCAGCTATTTGGGGGAAAAAATATAATGGCAATCATGTTTCTATAGCATGTTTCTGCATGGTAAGAAGTACATGTATTACCATGAGCCTTTCTTAGAGATCATTCAGTAATCCCTAAGGTGTGTGTGTATGTGTGTGTGTGTGTGTGTGTGTTTAAGATCCTCTGTGATTGTAGTCCAAAAAGTCAGTGAGAAATTAACTTGCGGATGGAATTTAAAATGTTGACCCATGTCATATGGCTGACTCAAAGGCTGCTGCCACCAGTTAATGTCAGTCACACTGTGCCTGCTAATTTTTTATTAAGCACAAGAGTATTCTCAAAAGAGGGCTTAAAACTGTGTAATCCATTGTGCTTATTGCTTTGATAATCCATCTAATTGTCCTTGGAGCTTCAAGCTGTAGGGTTTGGCTTCACTGGTAATTTTATGGTCACATTAATAATTGGGCTGCTGCATCTGAATGAATGGGCACTTCAAATATAGATAAAACAGTTAAGTTCTCCTACGGGCAGGGAACACAAAGTACTGTTCTGGAATTTCCCTAGTTTTTCCTTCTCAACTTACAAACATGTCACAAAAAGCAGTACTAGAAATAATTATCTTTCTGTATTACCATTGCTATGAAAAACAACAATGCAAAACTTTCAAACTACTAAATCAGATATTTCTATGACAATAAGGGAGAGCTATCATGTGGATTATAAATTTAGAGATATAAGAGCTTAGTTTGTTGAACAGAACCTTTTTTAATAAAAAATATATTATTTTTCTTGGAAGTTAATTAGTAACTTGTAAAGCTTTCTTTCCTTTTCCTTTGAGGAGCCCATACCTTATTTGCTACCGTACCTGATATTAAACTGGTACTTTGTGAATGATCAGTTAATACTAATTTCATAAAATCGTCCAGTCAGTCTTTGTGTTCTGTGGAAATCCAGAGTAATAACGTATTCTATTGGAAGATTTTCCATGGTCTGCAAAAAGTATAAATTGTGAAAAGTTCTAATCCTTATTTTTCTGCCAATTCAAGAGCCTCTGGATTTCAAAGCAGTCAGAATTGACTCATTGTAGTTTGAGTATTTTTGCCTCAGCAGTGGGAGGTGGACGGCACCTAGCATTCAACACCAAAGACAGTGCCAAGAATTCAAGGTCTGGGCTTTGGTGTTTTTCTCTTCTGTTCTTTTTACCCTGTAGCTTCCATTTCTCTAGAGTACAAATTCTAACGTAGGGACCAGATTAGGAATTTTGAACATACTCTTTGAATGCTCCACTGTCAGACTGGGCTTTCTTAAAAGTTAAACTAGACATGGTTTATAAAGTTAATAGGAATATAAAGAACATGGAGAAGGAATCGATACCTTTTTAAAGTAGTAGGGATTTGGATAAATTAACTGTCAGATAGTGGTGGTGGAGGTATCAGAAAATAAAACAAGTGTGGTTTATAGAACACAGCTTAGAATTCAGGGCATCCCCATTCAAAGACGTTAGAGCTGCCTGCCTGCGATAACCTGGGCTTCACACATTAACTGAGCATGCTGCTAACACGTTTCTGTACGTACTTCATGCTTTTACAGCAGTCTGCTCCAATTCCTCAGATGCCATTATTAAAAAAAATACTGAATATATTTATATATATGCATACGTATCTTCTTACTTGGAAACGTGTCTATATTTCTATAGCTATATTTCCACAGTTACTAGAAAAAACATTGGTGACAGTTTCATGAATATGTCTTCAGTTATTCCTTTTACA